CAACCTGTACAAGAATTTTATGTGCAGGATGGCTATTTGATGCGTAGCAACCAGCTTTGCCTTCCTCGAACATCATTACGAGAGAAGGTAATTCGCGATTTACATGATGGTGGATTAGCTGCACATCTAGGTCGTGATAAAACTATTGCTGCAGTCCGGGAGCGATTTTACTGGCCCCAGTTGCGTAGAGATGTCAGTAGGTACGTACAAAAATGTTATGTTTGCCAGACTGCTAAGGGGAAATCTAATAATACAGGTTTATATATGCCATTACCTGTTCCTAACAATATATGGGAACATCCGTCCATGGATTTTGTGCTTGGTTTACCACGGACATAAAGAGGCGTGGATTCTGTTTTCGTTGTGGTTGATAGATTTTCGAAGATGGGGCACTTCATTCCTTGTAGGAAAACTTCTGATGCAGTAAGTGTGGCCAGATTATTCTTTAAGGAAGTGGTTCGTTTGCATGGTGTGCCCAAGTCTATTACCTCAGATAGGGATAGTAAATTTCTAGGGCATTTTTGGCGGACTTTATGGAAACTATTTGATTCATCTTTGAATTTCAGTAGCACAGCTCACCCGCAGATTGATGGGCAAACAGAGGTGGTTAATAGAACTCTGGGAAACTTGATTCGAAGCATTTGTGGAGATAAGTCGAAGCAATGGGATGTTGCTTTATCACAAGCAAAGTTTGCTTATAATAATGCAGTTCATAGTTCTATTGGCAGGTCGCCTTTTTCTGTTGTTTGTACAAAGGCGCCTCAGCATACTCTGGATTTGGTACAGTTGCCTAAGCAAGCGGATAAAAGTGTAACAGCGGATCATATGGCTAAACAAATTGTGGAGATGCATCGTGAAGTCAAACAGAAGCTGGAGGAAACTAATCAGAAGTATAAAGCTGCAGCAGATAAGCACCGGCGGAAGCAGGTGTTTGCGGTAGGTGATCAAGTCATGGTTTTTCTTTGTAAAGAGCGATTACCAGCTGGATCTTACAGTAAATTACAGCCAAAGAAGTATGGACCTTACGCTGTCAGCAAGAAAATCAACGATAATGCTTATGTTATAGACCTTCCACATAGCATGGGCATATCCAACACTTTTAATGTTGCTGATTTGTCACCGTTTCATGAGTCCACAGAGCCGTTATATCCAGATCCTGATTTTAACTCGAGGACGAGTTCTTTTCAAGTGGAGGAGAATGATGCGGAATCTATTAGTGGTGCGTTTTTGGACCGATTGGACAGGCAGAAGTCCAAACGGAAGGCGAAACAGTGATGTGACTAGAACCGGAGGACCCGATCGACAACATCGGATATTTTTTATGAGTTAATTTAAAAAGGCAGTTTTCTAATTTTGATGTTTTATGCTTTCCAATTTAGATTAGGTAACTTTCCTATTATGATTAGGTTTCCAATTTAGATTATGTAACTTTCCTATTATGATTAGGTTTCTTATTGTAATTAGGTTTAACCCCTATAAAAGGGTGTTTAGGGTTGTTTTGAAGACAGAACATTCTTATCATCAATATTGAATTTCGAGATTTTTCTCTCTAAGCAAGGTTTTGCTTGAATTATTCGCGGAACGCTGCGTCATCGGGGGTTTCCGGAGCTTGACGGCACAATGGACAAAGCAGGTCAGCTACCATTTTTCTTTTGTAGAGATTCTCCTTTGTTGAAAGTGCATTGTTATACACACTCCATAGGAAGAATCGAATCTTAAGTTAGGACTGGATTTGCCATATTGTTGTCCATAATGCTCTGGAAGGCTAGTATGATGATGATAATGCCTAGTTGGCGTTTTATTGCTTATCCTAAGAACATAGCTTGTTGTACCCACTTTTCACCAAATAGGCCCATTTCCCATTTCCTGTCCACACTAGCTTATCTGCCAAGGGGTTTGGGCTGAGTGGGATAGACAGTATCTCCAGCACCACGTACTCATCTGATAGCTAGGTAAGCTCTAGGGTCTTTCAATGTTTTGTCTCTTGGTTTATCAGGTCCCTTACCAGTTGGCGGTCATTTAGGTTCGTGGGGCCTTCGATTTTGCCTATAAATAACCATGTCTTCCCTAATGTTGATATTGTTTCCGTCTCCCACAACCTATCTCACTGCCGACTTTATCACCTCCCTATCCATCAAGTAGGCTTATCCCCAAGATGGGCGATGGCCTTTGTTTGTGTTCCATAACCCTCCTCAAGGGAAATATATTCCTTTCATTACTTGGCTCCATAAGGTATTAGGTGATTGTGCTAAACGCCATGCCTCTTTTCGCAACATCACCTTGTTGAAAACGACAAGGTCTTTAAATCCTAATCCACCCGAGTCTTTCCTTGTTTTCAAAGACCCTCACTTCCTCCAGTGAATTCCTTCTTTGGCTGCATTTTGTTTCCACCAAAAAGGATGCAATTTTCTTCTCTATTGATTTACAAATCAACATGGGAATTTTGAATATTGACAGTGCATACTAAGGTAGGGCTTGTACGACTATTTTAACCAGAATCTCTTTTGTTGCTTTAGACATCAACTTCTCCTTCCATCCTTCCAAATTTCATATTGACTGTAGCTAGAATCCGTGCGAACATTTGCTTCTTTGATTGCCTCCGGTTAGAAGGAATTTTTAAATACTTGCCAGTTTTATCAGTGATTAGGACCCTTAACTCACCCACCATATTCCTTTTTCAGTTGCTTAGGGCCGCCATTGCTTTAATAGCTATTGGACTTGTTCAGATTAATAGCTTGTCCCGATTCATAACAGTCACGGTCCAAGATATTTGCTACATTCTAACATTCCCTAACCGTCCTACCCCAGAAAAGGATAGCATCGTCAGCAAATAATAGGTGAGATAAAGTCGGGCACCACCTTTTCAATTTAATACCCTTTACACTACCATCCTCGATCGCCTTGTTCAATAAGAAAGACAGGGTGTTGACCATGATGATGAACAAATAGGCGATAAAGGATCCCCTGTCTAATGCCCTAAGAAGGTTGGAAGCATGGAAGAGATTCCTCATTGAATTTCACACTAAAGGAGATTGAAGAAATACATTGTTTTATTAAATGTACCCATTGTTCACAAAAGCCCAATTTCAACATGCATGCCCACAGAAAATCCCATTGAACCCTATCATACGCTTTCTGCATATCCAGCATGAGAACTACTTGAACTTTTCTTTCCCTCTTTCTAATCCTTAGTTGATACCACACTTCATGAACTATTAATATTTTATCTTGAATTTGTCTACCACTCACTAAGGCACTCTATTATGTGGCAATGAGTTCAAGAAGCCAGGGTTTAAGACGGTTGTCAATTACCTTAGAAATTATTTTGTAGCTGAAATTGCATAAACTAATAGGTCTAAACTAGGTGATACTTTCTCGGTTTGCCACCTTCGGGATAAGAACGATATGTGTTCTATTAAGGGTAGGGTTGAATGTACCTGAAGTGAAGAAGCAATCCACCATTCGGTATACATCATGCTGGATTTCCTCCAATAATGATGGTAGAATTGCCCATTGAGTCCATTCGGACCTGATGCCTTAGTTTAGTTGCTCCCATTTGAAACACCTCTTCTTTCACTTCCTCTATTGATACCCTAGTCATTAAGGCCTCGTTCATCTCATCTTTGGCAAGGGGCAGGCAGTGATCTAACACGGGTTGAAAATTCTTGGGACCCATGGTGTCATATAAAGACTGATAAAAGTTGCCAATGTGCATTCTCAACACTAAAGGCTCTCCGCTCCAGCTATGATCATCCATTCTTAGCATAGAAATTATGTTCCACCGTCTTCGTTGAATTGTAGTTGCAGGAAAATACTTAGTGTTCCCGTCCACCCACCTCAACCAATTGATCTAGGATCTCACGCTCCAATACATCTCTTCTTGTCCACATAGTCTTTCTATATGTTCCTTTATTTGTTGAGCCTCCTCTTTGCTTGCCTCTCCAATAGGATTGTTGGTTAGTTCAATAAGCTTCTTCTTTAGTTGCTCAATTTGGCAATGAGCGTTAGAAAACTTCTTCCTACTCCAGCCCACCAACGCTCCAGCAATTCTACTCAACTTGCTCACAATGTCCGAAGTATCACTATTTTGATCATTCCAGGCCGCATTAACAATATCTTTGTATTTGAGGTCGTCTAGCGAGTACGCCTGAAAATGAATTTCGTTCCTTTTTTCTTCTGACAAGCTTCGGGAATAAAGAAAGAAGGAGAGGGCTGTGATCGGAACCTATAGCCGGCAAAACAAAGACTTCCACAATTGAAAACAATACTCTCCACTCCATATTGCATACTGCTCTATCTAACCTAACCAACTCTGCCCCCTCTCTATTGTTAGCCCATGTGTACGCACAACCCTTGCTCTCTATATCAATGAGAGAACGGTTACTCAGCATCTCGCTAAAAGCCACCGTTCTATAGTGGTCCACCTCTCTTTTTCCAACCATCTCCCAATACTAAAGAACCTCGTTGAAGTCCCCCGTACATAGCCATGGTAGGCTGTTGATATTATGTATGGACCGCAACTTCTGTCATAGGTATAATCTCTCCAAATAATTGGAAGAGGCATGAAGGAAGGTAATCTGCATTAGATTGCCACTGGTGGGTCCCCGCAGGTGATATCTATGAGCTCCTTTGAACTATCATCCACACCCACTGACACCTTCACATCCCACATGATCACTAATCCCCCTGCGATACCTATCGGGTCGATGGTCATGGAATTTTGGAATTGTAGCCGATTTTTTACTCTATCTACCACTCCTAATCGACCCGGAATTCTGGAATTGGAGCCGATTTCTTACTCAATCTGCCCCTCCTCGTTTATTATCACCTTCACATCCCACGTGATGGAACTCGGAATTGCGCGCATCACACGTCTAGGGACAACCGGGGACGGTGGTTTAGAAAACGAAAAGAAGAAAAAGCAAGAAGTAAAAGAAAAGGTCGTGCAAGAAACCTAGGGTGGTGGTGAACAAATGGAACACGCAAGACGAAGGTCGCCGTCATGCACCGTTTTCTTGAACCAAGACCCAGCTTCGATCAAGACATGACACCGTACGAGTAGGACCGGCGACTGAAACCAAACCTTGATAAATCCGAAGAAGTCCCAATCAAGAAGAAGGGGAGAGAGAGATGGAGACGTTGGAGGAGGAGGAGGAGTACAGCTGGAGAGAAGTGAAGCTGCCCAGCCTGGTCCCGGTAGTGGGGGAGGCGGAGATTCCCGAGCTGGAGAGAGAGACGGGGGAGAGGAGGCGGGGCAGGGCGGTGCTGGTCGCCGTGGATCACGGGCCGAACAGCAAGCACGCGTTCGACTGGGCCCTCATCCACTTCTGCCGCCTCGCCGACACCCTCCACCTCGTCCATGCCGTCTCCAGTGAGTCTCCCGCCTTCTGCGCCCATAGAGAAACGCTAGATACCAACGTCCGTTGGCCCAGGTGGTAAGGAGCCTGGGTTCCCTTAAGCAAGGTCTCGAGTCCGAGCCTTGTGTATGGAGCAAACGGCGCTGGGAGAGCCACCCCCCTTGTGGGTCCGACAGTGCTCGCTTCCGGATTTAGTCGGGGATACCCGGATACCGGAAGGTCATAGACCAAAAAAAAAAAAAAAGAGAAACGCTAGATTACGAAATATTGTATTACTACTGGTATTTAAATATAATTCACTTATTTATATAGGTCACTCGCAGTAGTAAATCAATTCCTTAAAGCAGTCTAACTTGTTAAATGGAATCCTCAATCTCGAATCAGTTGTCTACTTTGAGGGTAGCTTCTCTACTCTTTTATGGGAAAAAAGATTTTGGATGTGCATGGGATTTGCAAGTTGCCTACTGCCTTGTCTGCTGAATTTCCTCTGGTTCTTCAGCAAACTTAGGGAAGAGGTTCTCCTGCTTTGTCAATGAAGTTGTCTTGGAGTGCCTTCATGTATCACCTGTGGATTCTGAGCAACAGAGTGCTGCTGATTTAGCTATCTCTCTCGATGTTCATGTCGAGATACGGAGATTAAAAGATGATATAAGGTCGAGACTCATTGCTTGTAGATCTGTTAGGGCTAAAATTCATGGTTGCCACGGCAAACTTGGTGAGAATTGAGATTCGCATTGGTAGATGTAAATTGTTTTCCCAATACAAAGATTTAGTCTTCTGCTGTGTTGGTTTTGTTCAATAAAATTTCTGATTTATCATAAAAAGTATGATGACTAATTCATAAGATAACTGCCCATCACAAGAACTTATGGTGGCACGATCATTAGAAAGAATGCTGTTCGGAAATGTTACATGTTTTTGGTCGAAAACTTATGCACAGTTTGTTATGTATTTGGAGGAGAAAAATATGAAATTGGTAACAGCTGCTGATGTTTACTTGGGATTGTTCTGGTTCCTAAGGTCATTCTTGATCCGGATAAGATAAACTCAGGTAGAAGTTACTGGCTGAGGAAAAAAGTAGAAGCCATTGATCTTCTAGTGGAAATGAACTGAGAACTTGATGGTTGCATTCCTCTTTGTTTTGTCCAATCTCAATCATCGTATTTGGCATCAAGTTAATGGTATGATTTCAAATTTCTTTTAATTCAAGTAACTTCCAAAAAAGCAAGGTAAATGCCAACCTAACTGGTCAGTAGGCGGTTTGTAATTCATAGAAATTCACGTAAGGGCTATAAAACTTGAAACTTTATTAAACATGTCAAATGATTAGATACCACATGTAAGTTCATGTGAATATGTGGACTTAAGTGTATTGTATAGTGTTATATCTTGTCTCTGAATTTCAAGGTTCCTGTCTTGTAGCGTGACCAGTTGCGTCCGATTATGCAAAATCTGAGTGAAGATACTTGTGTAGGTGTAAACAATGAGGTTATTCATGAACAGAGCCAGGTGCTGATGGAGAAGCTAGCCGTTGAGGCTTTTCAGGTTGCCATGGTCAGTGACTTGTCATTCTCCTGTCCTCTCTTTTCCTTACTCCAAAATAAATTCTTTTCACATGGATCATATTCCAACATAATGAGATCATTCAAGGATTGTTGATTTTGCTAAATTTAAGTTTAGCTTTACCTATAGTTTTAAGGTTTCATTACAGAATGTCGGAAATCGGACCACCCTCATTGTCTTACCTACCACCTCCCCTAGTTTGATTTATCTCCCAATATGTGTCAAAATTGGGAAAAGTACTTGCATAGCATTGGTCCATGCAGGACTGATGAATCTGCATGTTTTCTGTCGATCTTGCCTATCTTTAAAGAGAAAATGAAGGCATAGACTGGTTCTTTTGGCTCTGTGGTTGAAAAACTAATCACAACATAGTACTTATGTTGAATCATATGTGGTCCACTCGGGTTCCACACTTTCTTGACATATGATTGGCTGACTTGGCGCCGCAGAATTAGTTAGGCGATAATTTCCTGTGGTCCTGGTGAGCTAAGGATTAGAAAAACTTAATTGGTTTAGGCTTTTTGGGTTTGGACTGCTTTTTATTGAATGTTTTACACAAAAATCTCTCGAGAAAGGAGGTGCAAGCCTTGCATTGCAAGGTTTCAATCTTTGAGAAACAGCAGATTTCTCCTGTTCAATTCAGCATAGGTGTTCTCATCACAGTCACCTAATTACTGACCAGGAGACAAGAAAAGATTCAAAATATGAATATGCCGGTCTCCATAAAGATGAAGAAAAGACCACTTCAGTGGTCTTCTAACTATTGGTTTGAGTTATGAGCTAATCATAGACTTGTCTGTGTTATCATCGCATTAATTATCCGTTCTTCGTTTTCCTGATGAAATTAGTACACTAATAATACATCTTATGACCATGCCGCATGTGGAACTTAAACGATGATACTTACTTTGTCCTGCCATTGCATTCATGTCAGTGAAGCAATCGCTTCTTTCTTGTTTAGAACTTCAATGATCACAGTTATTCTACCACGCCATTGAATTTTTCCAGTAAAAAAAAAGATCCTATTGGTGATTAGCTGCTTCTTTCTAATTTTTGGGCGTGGGGGACTTCAACTAGATGTCAGTCTATGCTTGAAAGGCGACTGCTAATGAATTATATTCTATCCAGTGTCAATTTTTGTGCCAGAAGGTGAATTTGAAGTCGTGACGGGCCATATCTGATTGTCTTAATCAAGCGGTAAATGTAGTCTGTGCAAATTTGCTCCTCAATTTTGCTTTGTTCAGGTGAGGACCGTTGCTAGGATTGTGGAAGGCGATCCGGGAAAGGTCATTTGCAGAGAGGCAAAAAGATTGAAACCTGCGGCTGTTGTAATGGGGACGAGAGGAAGAAGCCTTATTCAAAGGTCCATCCTGGTAACCAGAGTTCAATCCCATTCTCTCACGCTATATCTTAAATTTACCTATATTGCAGCGTACTTCAAGGAAGTGTGAGTGAGTATTGCTTCCATAACTGCAAATGGGCACCTGTTATCATAGTTCCAGGCAAAGGTACTACTTTCTTTTTGGCTAATATGAGCAGATCTTTCTGAGACTAGTATTAATTGAGTGAGAAGTTCTTACGTATGCGTGAAATTGAACTGGCAAGCTATTATCATCTCTTTGCAGAAGCTGGGGATGAGTCGTTGGTATAGTCGAACTCGAAAAGCTGTTGGCGCATAGATTTTGTCGATCCAGGAAAAATAGTGGATTTCTTGTATTAGAAAAGAGTATGTTAGTGATGCAGATTAGGTCTTTATCGTTAGTGATTGCGTGAATTGTACAAGATACGGAAATCCAGAGCCGCTTTGTTCGTTTGTACTCACTTTGTCGTGATTGAAAAAGGCTGTTGTTTGAGAGCAGTAAATTTGATGCTTTCATAGAATTTTGTCTGCAGAACGAGGCTGATTTGGAGATTTCTGATAACCTTAAGGCAACAGAGACATCAATTCAAAAGAAAACTGGGCGCTTTTGTTAGAAAGTTGAAATCATTTTAGCGTGGGTTCTGAAGATCATGTGATCTCTTTTCCTTGAATGTGGTCCTTCAAAAGAAACAAACAACGCTCAAATGGGCTTGGCATGTTTGTTCCAAAATTCTTGTCTGTGTCTGAGGAGAAAGAATGTTTGTTCTCCTAGTTACTTTCTAGGATTCCCTCAGACAGAAGAAAAGACAGAGAAAACCTGAGAGGCCCAAAAGTGAAGGAAAATCGCTCCCAACATAATCTTGAATGGGTGCTCTAAATATATGCATATCATCTTGGAGAATCTGATTTCCTTGGATTTTGCTTTTATTCCTTGGAGCTGCACTATGTGAAATTGTAGAGAGAGAGAGAGAGAGAGAGAGAGAATGTTGTGAGGAATGGGATTAGTCAGAGCTGAATTGGGTAGTCAAAAGAGGGGAGGCAAAGCTAAATCTCTCACCATACATTTGACAGCAAAACAGTATCAAATATATCTTTTCCAGTGGATAAGGACCGTCTTCTGTATGTATGGCTTGAAAATAAGGCTGTTCTTATCTCAAAGAATAGGAAAGTGCACTAAGAAGGAGGCAATCTAACTGGTCCCAACATATCTGTTTTTCCTAGGTATGTGCAAGGTAAGAACTGCTCGGCATGCCCGCAAATCGCTTTGATGTTTAACAATACGAACTAGAAGGTCCTAGAACCGAATTTTCATCGGATTAGGGCATACATAATATCTATCGATCTATGTGATTGCTACTTTCATTTTGACAGACCAAAATTTTCCATAATGTATGAGCAACCCATTACCTTCTCGCTCTGGTGGGATTGGCACAACTTGATTATACCAAGCTCGTTTATGTATCATATGTCGCCATATTCTGTCCTGAAATAGGCTTAAGCTATTTCTGGGTCGATGAGCCGGACCGGTAGTCGGTTTCTTCGAACGTCAAAGTGGTCGATATTATTTCTTCGGCTAAAACTTGTATAAGAGGATGAATACAGTTTTCATTTCATCTGGAAATACATCATCTTTTTTCTCACAATGTCTTTCTCATTAGAACTAAGGACAACTTTGGCAGGCCTTTGTCATATAGAGAATTAGGATTTATGCTCTCTCAAATATCATATGAGAATTTCCTGTGTGTTTTATTTTAATTGTGTTTTAGGTGAGGACACACATTAATGACTACTAGTTTTATGTCATATGATATGATTAGCTTGACAGCTGAGAATCAAGGACATTCAACACATCAGTAATGTGATATGTTCCTCCTGACAAGTAGTGGCATTTTCTCTTTTATTTTGCTTTCACTTTATTGGGTAACCATCAAAGTCCCTATCAGTCAGCTCCATTTGTTCCATAAGGGAAGCAGAGAAGGTCCACCAGCTTAACTCATGTCCTCTACCTTTAAACTAGAATGCTTGCAATTGCCTGTCAATTTTGTCCCAGCAACAGAGCAAACTTGCTTCCTATAGGCATCCTATTGCCTGACCAATCCCATAGAGTTATACACAGATTATTGAAATGGTGTTGGTCAAGTCAAAATCCCAGCATCTTCTCATTTCCTATTTTTTATCCTTGCAATACTTCTTTTTTCCCATAACACTGGATATCCGAATTTTTTATGATATCCGAATTTTTTTGGCTCGACTGATCCCGCACCCGCAAACGCACGCACCATTTCTTTTTTCATATGCATCGGATAATCTTCTCTTGTAGAGTTGTGCCTGACTGCAATAGCCCTAAAAAATGAACCCTCAATTTAAAATGCGGTATTCAAATAAAGTGTGTAATCACACACCTTATTTACTTTGTTCACCGTTGTAATTTTTCACCTCATTATTATTTTTATTATTGTTATTTTCAGTTTCTTCGTTGTGCTGTGGGTACTTGTCTCAATAATGCTAGGTCTCACTGTTTTAATTTTGGCAAATAAAAAAATGGTCTCACTGTTTTAGACACAGTCTAATGGCCCAGGGGCTCATATGATGAACTTATAAAAGAGACGTCTAGCCATTGCAGGGTTCAGAAAAAGCTGTAACATGCATAAGATTGGGACAAGACAGGCAATTCCTGATTTCCTTTTCCAATTTCATCCAAATTGGAGCCCCCCACCAGTGTTGCGCCCCACCCCCCCCCTTTTTCATGATTTTCTTTTCTCTTTAAACTTTGCCTCCAAAAGCACCAGTTCCTTTCTTGGTCCCCCTGTTCCATCACCATCCAACTTTTTCAAGAATCTTTAATGAAGTTACTCTCTTTTAATGTGCCTTACAGAGAGCAAAGAGCATATGTCAAGGTCACAGCAAAAACAACAGGGAGATGGGGCTTAAATGGTTGGTCGTGATTCTTATTCATACTTTGAGCAATATAGTATGATTACAAATAAAATATACATGCTGTATATTTGAGAAATAGAGAAAAGAATTTTGGGTCAGAGCATCTTCGGAATGAATTTCTTTTTAGTTTTGTGAACGGTGTCATCAGGCTCATCACACATCTCCATCTCTAGATTACGGCTCAAGCGAACCTGCAAAAGTTTGACATTAGCCATTAGATACTACCAACTCATTAAGGAGCTTAATAATGGCACACAATTGCATGATAGTTCTATAGAGAGAGGATCTGCAAATACACATTCTCTTCGTTTTAAATCGAGAATCATCCAAATCTTTCCAAAGCAGGATAATTAAGGTATGTGGGTCTCTCTGTCATCCTTACCATTGGTAGTTAAGACTTTGCTTTGCTTTCACTATCTAAATGCACCGATAAAGCCCTCAATCAGACAAAAGTCGGTTCAGATTAGGACATTTCACCGCTGATTACCTGTAAATTGCTCAGGGACAAAATTAGTACTTCTTCCTTGATATGAGTCCATACTAAATGCTTTGTACATCAAAGTTCCAAGCAGAGGAGGGCTGAAGTGGCTGCACAATAATGAACAAGAAACTAAAAATAAAAAGGCATGTAAAGAAATTTCACAAGAGAGGAGCAACTGGAAAAAATGGCTAGCTGGAATTACAGCGAAGGAAGATGGGTCGAAAAACGTCTCGGCCATCGCCGCTGGAGGGCCAATCGTTCTTTGAACATTCTCGTTGGGAATAACCACGGACTCCGTCACCGGACATGAAACCACTTGATGCGCTGGATTAAACTGAAGATAGGCAGCAGCATTAATCATATCTGTTGGTATATCAATTGCGGGGAAGCTGGCTGTGCAGTTGGGAAGCATCTGTTGCCATCAAAGTTAAACCAAACCACAGAGCAACATCAGAAAATTGGCAATTTTGACCTGTCTTGATCTGCTTGTGTTAGCATTAACATAATGCTCTCTTTTTTCCAATGACCAAACTTGCGAGCACGTATCTGATTAAATGTTCATTCATTGACTGAAAGAATTACCTCTTTCGCAAATAAGGGGTCCATGTTGAAGTCAACTCTTGTAGTCACAGCAGCTAGTTTCATGGACAAGAACTGTGAAATGTCATAGCAAAAACAAACCCAGTTGAGCACACCCTCGAGAGATCAAAGCATTGTCAAGGTAAACAGAGAACAATCTCAGATTGATAAATGAGAAACGTAAGTTTCTATCTTTTACCTCGACTTGTCGTTGTAGAGATTGAACATAGTTGATGATTTCATCGAGCATTCCCGCCTTCCCAGTTATCTTATTGCACCCTGGTACTAAATCCTGAAGGTACTTCATCCTCTCACTGATCTTTTCCCTCCTCGCCTAATTTGAACAGACATGGACAGAACAAGAAATAAATAACATGTAATTGCACAAGAAATATATTAATGAAAAACCTTCCATGCTTATAACATTCTACCCATCATCTGAACACAAGAATGGAATTAAATTCAGGCTATGACGACTCACTCTCTCAGCTAAGCTATGGCTATCCGTGGCTTGACCTCGGCGAGCTCGGACATGGATATAATCGGGCTTTTGGACCTCCGAAACTCTTGAATTCTCCTTTGAAGTGCTGGCAGAAGTTTCTCTGTTGTTGTTGTTACTGCTCTTGTCATTAGTTTGTTCTGTTATCTTCGACTCCCCCTCTTCCGTGGATCCTTTGAATTTCTTGTCTTTGAGATCATCCTCGAGCTACACCCAATCAAGACATACTTTTTCAGCTCTTAAGAGAGTCAACAAGCAAGTAAGAGGAATGAATTTTCTAGGCTACATCTGAAATTTCAAGCCCCTTTAGTCTAAGAGAAATGATTAATCAAGAAAAAATGAAATTTTTTCGCGGATGGTCTTTCACTAGGAATTATTGGGAAATAAGAAAAAGATTAGTCAGACAATTATATTTTTCGTGAATTAATTCACTATGAAGTACCTACATTTTTAACAGTACATAAATATGGTAATACTTGCATTGAAAGGCAAAGGACTGAAAATGCAAAAAAAATGCTTAATCAGAAGAAAAGACCAACCTTTGAGTTCTTTACTTTGTCATATTTCCTCTTCTTGAAGCTATCCTTCCTGACTTGGGAGCCAACCTTCTCCGGCAAGGCCAGCTCTCCACCGCCGGCATCCATCGCCGCCGCAGGCGGCGGAGGGCCGCTAGAAGTCCGAGAAATAGAGCCGTTTATCTCCGGACCGGTTCCAACCCCATACCCGCAAGCCCCGAAACCCAGACCCGGCATTTCATACCCGCCGGCCTCGGAACACCCGTTTTGAAAGGCCGGGTCGTCCTTCAGATGGCGGTTCAGGTTCACGACCTCGCCGAGCGCCGACTCGCCGCCGCCGCTGCACATCATCGCGAGCCCATCGCCGTACCCGGCGGCAAACTCGCCCCCGCCGAAATGACCCTTATGCACCAGCTGCAGCTGCAGCTGCTGCTGCTGCTCGTGGAGCCACTGTAAGCGAGCGCGCTGCCTCTCCAGCACCGTCACGTCCGCGCACTCCCCGGCGACGACTAGGTTCACCGGCGGATGGCTCAGGTGGCGGAGCATCTCCGGCAGAAGAGCTAGATTCATCAGCTGATACCCAAGAAAGGAAACTCTCTCTCCTCCGGAAACAGAGTATAGGGAAGCGAAACTCACTCTACACTTTGGATGAGAGAGCACTCGCTATCACTTTCTCGCGCTAACACGCCTAGCAACTAGCAAGCATTTGACGACAGAGAGAGAGAGATAGAGAGAGGGGTGGAGGAATAATGAGTTGGGAAGTGTGGTGGTATATATAAAGGCGAGCGAATGGATGAGGGAAGAGGAGGATGGATCGGAGAAAATGACAGGGTAACGCCGGAATCTGAGAATAGTAACACTGTAACACAGAGAGAGAGAGAGAGAGAGAGAGAGAGAGAGAGAGAGAGGAGGAGCATACATATCTATATCTATATCTATATCTATATATATATTCATATGGGGGGTATGTATGCATGCACGCATGTATTGATGGATGATGAATGGGGGGTGGTGATGGTGATGGTGATGGTGATGGTGATGGTGGTGGTGGAGGAGATGATCCAATGAGCAGGTGGAGAGGCGTGGGCGGTGGGTCTCCCCCTGACATGACCACCATGTGGTCGTGTCCGGGCCACGGCAGAACGGGGGAAGGGTGCGCGGCGGCGTGGAAGGACGGACGGACGGCGTTTTCCCTCCGCCGAGGAATAAGAACGGCGTAGTAGAGAAGCAGGACTGGTACGTGTCGTTCGCGTCAACCCCCCAGGTCGATACAACCGTGGGACACCGCGAGGAAGAGAACGACGTTTTCGCAGATCGTTCCCTGTTTTTCCTGTATCAAACCCAACCGAAACAACGCCTTTTTAATTATTTTTTTTTTACAGTAAGACGCTCCCGACAGAGTTGTTGAATGTTTCGTGAGCCTTCAGATAGTCAAGCTAGCCTTGCTCTCGTGCCATCAGATTATGAAAAGATGGAATAGTGAGATAACAAGTTTTAAACTTAGGTCGGTTTGGCCTTTCGCGCATAAAATATGTTTTTTTCCCTCGCAATTCTACTATTCTAAAATTTGTTACGGTTTGGAATTACAGTGTTTCTGTTACTCACGATCATTTCAAGTGAATGGATGGAAAATTTACGTCGAATTTCTTTTATCAAGGGCAATCGACCCTCGTCGGTGGTGGTGAGCAGTATCGCCACCACCACGCCGGGGAGGGCGCCTTGCCCTTGCCTAGATCTAGTGACCACTTGTCGGCCGTCGCTCGCACGAAAGAGGGCGGCAGAGTAACCCCCAAGCTTCGCATATTGCAGATTAATCTTAGTCTTTTTTAATTTTCTTTCCCTCTTTTTTCCCCAAAGATGGCAATAGTAAGACCACGCCAATTTGTACATGAAGAAGCTCGGTCACCGTGTCAACAATTGCATGGCATTGTAAAAAGGGTTAATATCTTAAAAAATCCAAAATTAACTAGTTTAGAATTTTACTCCTACATTTATCATAAATTTACCAGTTTTTGATTTTTTTTTTTGTATTAATCTAATTTAACGGAGGTAAATTTATCATAAATGTACCAATTTAGAGTTTTTTGTGATTAAAAAATTATTTTTTGGTAAATTTATTACAGATGTACTAGTTTTGGGTTTTTCGTGGTATTAACCCTTGTAAAAATGAAGAAAAACAAATGTCACGTGTGATTCTTCGTCCACAAAATTTTGACATATGTAACGGAAATCCTGAAGGACATGTCACGGATAAGTTTTAGAGCCGTAAAGAACACGAAGAAAATGTTTTAGGACTAGAGTGCCGAATGGAAACAAGTTTTAGGACCTGTCACATTCGTTGTCCCTAAAAATATAGTGAGATGCCATCACAACTTTTAATTACGAGGAATCTCACTTGATTGGGTTGGGATGAATCCAATTCCACATACTCGAGTCCAAGCAAGTAGTTTCCCTTCTAAGAGACTTTCATCTCGATAATAGCACGGGACGAAGAATCTAAGACGAAATGAATCTCGAGAGCCAGACATTTTAGTTTAGTGCCAGCGGCTGAAGAGCGATTGGGAGTCAGGATCGGAGTCGGAACCCCAGCCCTGGGCATCGAGCCTCTCATGCTCCCAACACTACTGATTGCGGGATTGGCAACAATTTTTCCGGCGACGGCGATCTTCCTCGGACCTTGTGAGTTTCAATTCCGTCGCCGACTCAAAAAACAAAATTTTTTTTTTAAAAAAAAATAATGAATGAAACGAAAGAAACGAGAAGCAAACTTCGGAATGGGCTGATTGGGCCCCGGAGATGATGGCGGGGAGCTCGGTCCCAGCGCCCTGTCGAAAAAGGGGCCTCGAAGCCGCACATGGGGGTCCGTCACACGTGGCAGCTGCCTCGGCCGCCACGTCAGCCGGGCGAGGAGGTGCGGTGACGTGTGCGCGGGCGGCTTCTGGTCTCGGACATTAAACTGTGTGCCTCGGGAGGTGGTGCGAGCAGAGAGCTTCGGTACGAAGGTGGGGAGAGGTTTAAAGCCACAGGAAACGCCTACCCTGGAAAAAAACAAAAAATGCAAAAAAAAATTATATATATATATACGAAAAAATAAAATAAATATTTCTATAATTAGTTATAGGAGTTCCAAAGAGGAAGAGGAAGAGGAGGAGGAGCATGACATCCGTTTTCGGATAAAAAAACATATTTTTGAGAAGATATGTTTTATGTAAGATATGATGCTACGCATATTAAAATCAGTTTTTCCCTCATTTTATCACTCATTGAAATTGAAAACTTTTTTTTAAAAAAAAATGCGAATTCCATATTTCGATCTCGTTCATACGATTAATTTTTACCGTCGTTTATGGAAAAAAAGAAAGTTTAAGAATGTCATGGGCAAATTCAATTGAGGTTGAGATGATCAAGGACAATCTCCGTTGAGGTCGCGATGATCATGTGGGATGGCGACGACAATGTGATAGAAAGAGAAGTAAGGAAGGTCGGGACAAGTTCTCCATCTTTGTTGCCTTCGTCGCGGTGACGACAAAAGGCTAGGCAAGTGACCAAGGGAAATTTTTCGAATTAAGGAAAACCTAACGGAAGGTTCCTATGGCCTTGCAAAGGCTATATGAACCTTGCAAAAGGCTCAAATGGCCTTGCGCATGCTTAGCTAACGCTACATAGCATTGGCCTAGCGCTGCGATACGCCACGGTGGCAGTCTTAGGTCAGCCAGTTTCAAATGACGCTATTCATCCTCTTTTTTCTTTGAATCTATATATGTCTTTTTACCCAAGTTTATGCAAATTATGACTAAGCATAACTTTTTCGCAACCTCTGATTGACCTGATTTTTGATCTCACGAAAAACTCGAAACTCTAACTTTCTCAAAATGCAGTTCAATTTTTTAAAAAAGTGCCAAGATGTTGGATTTCTAATAATTAGGCCGAACGAACAACTGGATTGAAAAATTATGGTACTTTCTTCGTTAAAAATCCGATCGTTGTGGTTTTTTGCGGCAATAGAAAGCTCATGACGTGATCTTTAAGGTGTAATGAATTGATCTAACAATTCATAAATTTCCCAACACCCCGTAATAGGATGACCGTGATTCAAAGATGTGATATCTTAACATCCGAGCGTTCAATTGAGGCAAATTGGGTATTGTTAGAAAGCTCCTGACAAGCACAACCTAATTGTACAATTTGACAATATTTTTAACAACGTAATACTTTTGATCAACTTTGGTCAGGCCTTAGGTAAAAAATTAGATGTATACATACGGCCTGACTATTGAAAGGGATGATGAGTGATCTTAGGGATGCTAAGCATTGTGGAGTAAATTATTGGAAAATCTCTCCCAGAGATATACTTAATATGGTCCTGTTGACACAACATCAAGATTAAGAACCCTACATCAAAAACGTGATATGGTATTGAGCATTGTGATAATTGATGGTCAAACTCCTCCTTCAAGAAGTCATTGATAAGGTTTGTACATTTCTAGGCTATTTTTTTTTTTATAGAAGAAGCACTTCCAGTTTTACTTGTAAAAAAAGGTGATTGGGAGTCCTTAGTCTAACACATAAGTATGCCTATCATCGATTTGAAACTTTGTTGAAGTTCCTAAAATATAGATTAGAAAACACTAAACACCGTCTCCACTATATTAGTTTAAGTGATAAATGTGTTTGTTTTCATATGTTTCGATGGAATGTATATACCTAGGGTGATTTGTAGGTGTATAATGTTGGTCTTACTTTACAACTATAGCTGGTGGTCAGAATTCATTAGGAAAAATTACCAAATCAGTCTTAAAACTATTGTACGAATGTCAGTTCAGTTCTAAACTTTTCAATTATGCCAATTTAGTTATATTTTTGAGTAATGTAGTCATTCCGGTCAGTTTTTGCCGGAAATCATTAACGTAACGGTTTAATCATCACTGGCCGTCCTACATGGCAGACCGTCACGTTAGCGATTTCTAGCGGTGGGAATTGCCATAATCCCAAAAACTCAAGTCACCAACTCCATTGAAAAGTTTCGGACCGAAGTGGTATTTGTACGATATGTTTATGACTGATTGGGTAATTTTTCCTAATCGATTTCGTTGCTTATCAATAATATGATTTTGTTTTACCTACATAGATATATGCCTTCCTAAATATCGCCATGAATAGCTTAAAGAAACGGAGTTTTCGGTCTTCAACACCATCCGGCGATTGTTTCTATTATTGGGGGAAATAATTGAAGCTTAGAGATGAAGCCAAACCTCTCCAATGAGATTTAAGTCGGGCGATGGGACGTCCTTGTTCCCATTGTTTTTGATTGGTGGAATCCTTTGGGCCCTTATTGGATGAATATTCCTGAAGAACTTGTGTGTAATGATGCTTCCGTGCCTTTTTTACTGCAATGTTTCTTGTTATTTAAGGATGATGAGTGTGTTTGAGATTCACTGACCGTAAATCTGCCGAAGCTAACAGCACACGACTGCCTTGGTAATCGGTTAATGTCACAAAAAAATCCTTAAAATAATATATTTATAATAAATTTATTATAAATTAATTTTTTGATTACAAAAATTTTCAAATTGATTCATCTGTGATAAATTTATCTTTTATTAATTTTCGTTAAATTTTACTGTTAATTACCTGAGTTGAAAGAGATGTGGCAGTTGACGGATTTATCAATTTGGGATTTTACCCTCCGTTTATTACGAGTGTACCAATTTATGATTTTTTGTTGTATTCATCGAATTTAACGAAAATTAATGAAGGGTAAATTTGTCATAAATGTACTAGTTCGGAGTTTTCGATAGTCAAAAATTAGTTTTGGGTAAATTTGTCATAGGTGTACGAGTTTGAGGTTTTTTGTAGTATTAAC